AAATAATATTATGAATTTAAAAAAAAATAAAAAAAAATAATTATTAAATAATATGAAATCTATCTCTTAATATTTTAAATAACGTAACATAAGTTTATGTCATTAATCTCATATTTTTACCTCTAATTTGGGTGCATTTATTATTATTCCTAAAAAATATATATATATATATCAATCCAAATGAAAAGATAAAGACACTATTAGGGAATCTTATGTTTTTTTCATTTAGTAAAAGATTCTTTACATTTCTATATTATTGACCTGATGTTTTTCTTTAGAAGACGAGCTACCAAATTTCTTTCCAAGAAAGAATTACTTGCTAGTTTCTATTGGGGACAATTGCCGCCTATGAGGTCAAGATGTCCTCATCGTGGCGATATTTATCAATCTACGACCGTCCTAGAAATCCTATTTTCAGGGTTTAGTCTTGTTTTGCGTCTCTTTTTCTAAATTTTTTTAATTTTTTAATTTTTCAGTGTAACGTTTTCTTATAATTGGTGGAAAAAATCTGGTATAAGACAATTGTTGTAGTACTGAAGCGGATGTTTGGTGGAACTTTTTATAGCTTGCTTTTTAACTTTTTCATCTTATGAATTTGAAAATATTTTGGAGAGAAAAAAAGTTATTAGCGAATAATTTGCTTATAAACAAGTTTTGAAGAGAGTAATGGTTAAAAATTAATTAGAAACTCTCAAAAAAACTCTCCTAAACACCCTCTCTATCTTGCTATAATAAACTAAATAAATACAAACACTAACACCCAAGTAGATATAATTTTATCACTTTTATAAATACAAAAAAATAAATAATAATTTTGTAATTCATCTAGTACAGATTATACCAACGACTTATTAGTTTAAGTGGAAAAAGTTTGGTTTCCTTTAAATAAGGTTTCAAATTCGAGTCTTGTAAATGGAGAAACAAATGCTGAGAGAGTTTATCTCTAATAGAGTCTAACACAGTTCGATTCCGAATTAATCGGACTCAATGTGGTTACTGGATATCAAGAGATTAATATAAAAAAAAAAGTATAAATTATAAATTTTATAATCATTGAAAAATTGAAGGATTACCTTAATATCAAGAGTCATACCCAGCTGCTCATCAATTGTCACTACGCATGCATCATTTTTCTATGCAGGAATGAGAGGATTTTAGCAGGAACCAGGGGTGATCTTGA